TCCCCCCACAGGGACGGAGAGGACATGCTGTTGTCATGACAGCCCAGGGCCCGCTCATGGCATGAATTGTTTGCACATGGCGCTCCGAACCTGCTACCAGGAGACGGAGCTGGGCGCGGAGGAGCCGGGGGCGTCTCTGACCAAGAGCAGGGAGGATCTAGCCCAGGGCAGCCTCGGTGCCAGGACATCGTAGACCACGTCAGACATCGCCCGCTCAGTGCCAGGGCCATGTGCCGGGCAGAGCAGCTCCTGGAGCAGGAGTGACCCGTCGCTCCCCCAGCTGCACAAAGCTAACCCTCGACTAGGCCCGGGGTCCCACGGGGTGAGCCAGCTCCTCCTGCAGGCTACAGCTGTGGGGCGGGGACTGGTTCCACTGCCCCCATCAGCCCCGTAGCAGGGGCCAGAGGGGTACAGCAGAGCCACGCTCTGCTACTGCCCAGCCTGTAGTGGTGCAAGGTCGCCCTAACCTGCTCCCAGCTGCCCCTGAGTGGACATGGTGGAGAATCCAGGCCTTAGGGCACTGCCGTTCTCCAGGGGCTCCGGGTCCTGCTGTCGGCTCTTTGGGGCAGGGGCCTGGTCGTGCGTTGCAGAGTCCGATGCAGCCACCTCTCTGCCGACAGGGCTGGATTTTCAGGCTTTCAGCAGACCTGGGCAAGCTGGGCATGGAGCCTACGGCAACTGGGGATTGTGCTCTCTGCGTGCAGGCACCGGGCGTGTTCCCCCGGCTGGTGCACAGGGATCCCTCTCACACTGAGCTGTGGCCTCTCTCATTCCCAAGTCAGAGCCCTGCCAACATCCCTTCCTGCAGTGCATGGTGCCATTAGTGCCCAGGGCAGGAAGCGGGCTGGGAGCACAGGGTCCCATGCCCCTGTGGGATCCCATCCTGCTGCTGCTATCAGGTACGGGAGCAAACCCAGGCTCCTCCCTTGTTCGCCACCTGGCCCTAGACACCAGGCAGTGGCCAGGGCACTGGCTGGGGGCACAGGGCTAGACCGGCTGCCCGCTACGGGGGAGCACTGCTGTCCTCCCTTGACGATGTGTGTCACAGCTCAGAGGAGCCTGGCTCAGAAGGTCCCACTCCTGCTGGAGCCTTCATTCCCCTGCCCTCCTCATCTGATGGGCTATCTCACCGCAGCCACTAGCAGACTGGGGGAGAACAGCAGTGGAAATCAGGCAACTCCCCCACCACAGCTGGCCCTGACTGCAGCCCTTGCTGGCCTCTCAGCGGAGATGCCGGGGAGCGATGGGCCGTCCGCAGGGGCTGACCTGCCCTCGCCCAGCTGGAGGGGCCTGTGCTGAGAGCTGAGCAGAGGGAGAGCAGAAGGGGAGCAGAGCCAAACAACCCAGTCAATAGTCTTCCCTTCCCAGCATCCCCCAGGACAACGGAGAGGGTCACTCCTGTGGCAGGAAGGCAGCGCTGGCGATGCCCCACGCCGGCACTCCTCCAGCGCCGGGCGTCCCGAGGGCTCCCAGAGCAGATTACACAGCTCGGCAGAGACCGCCATGCCTGCCAGCAACATGCAGCCACCTCAGGGGTGAGAGCACAGCTGTCTCCCTGTGCTATGACCGTGTCGCCGGAGGGTACCCCGCTAACTAGTGAATCACAGCTGCCCAGATGTTCCTTCTGGGCCTCCCCAGCCAGCTGCAGGCCTGCTTAGCTTCAAAGAGCATCAGGCTGCGTTTTCCAATGCACCGAGCTCTGGGTGCCAGCTGCCCATCCCCCAGCCATGAAATAACAGCACATGGCCGTCTGCTGCCTGCATCCCTGGCCTGGGCTGGCTGGCAGCCGGACAGATGTTAAGAAGCCACTGTCCCAAGTGTGGCTCTGCCAGGCCCCCAGCGGCTCTCCCTGGGATACTCCAGCAGGCTGCAGCTCTCCCAGCTCAGCCGCGCCACGGCTGTTCCCCTGCCCAGATCTGCCCCAGACAGTTTCTGGCTTGCGCTGAGTAAATAGGATGATCCCAACAATGTGTGGAATGGCAGTAAATCTGCAGACGCCGGGCTCCTGACCACATGCTCTTGGCTGGGGGCTCTGGAGCTGCAGCCGCAGCCGGGCACAGAAACGCCTCTATTCTTTCCCCTGAACGTTTGGGATGAATTTAGCGCTTGAGCAATTAAAGGGCTCCGAACATGGGCTGGAGCCAGGCACAGAGCGGCAGGGAGGGAGCCAGCCCATGCCCCTCTGCCAGCCTGACCCCTCTCCGAGGCTCCCCAGCTCTGCGGATGGCCCCTCAGTTCTGATCTCCAGCCCCCCGAGCTGTCGCAGCCCTGGATTCTCCCCCACCCCTCTGCTCCAACCTCTCAATCTCTACCCACAGCCCCCTGCTCCCCCAGCCCTGGGCCTGAGGGAATCAAGAGCCCGGGAGTGGGAGAACTGACACTTCCTCCATGCGCTTTGGATGATCCCCCTCTCAGCACCAAGCTGCCATGTACCCACTCTCTCCTCCAGGCCTGCCTTTAATCTGCATGTCTTCCTTCAAACTCAACAAGGAGTCTGGTGGCACCTTAAAGACTAACAGATTTATTTGGGCATAAGCTTTCGTGGGTAAAAACCTCACTTCTTCGGATGCATCCTTCAAACTGATCTTCCCGCCAGTCCTCTGTCCTCCCTCCCACCACACGCTTCAAACAAATGAGGGAACTAACCAGACACTGCCCCTTACTTTGCAGTTCAGGTGTGTGGCTTCCTATTGCCTTCGTTCCAGCTCCCTCCCTGGTATGGTGCCTACCTACTGTCAACGCTTTGGGGCAGCGACCGGGTCTTATTGCCCTTCTAAAGAGCCGGGCATGTGGTTGATGCTGTCCTGACAACTTTCCTGTGCCTGAGGAGCTGGGAGGGGCGGGGGCAGAGGAAGGCTCCGGACCACGGGAAGTTTAGTCCTTTCATAACCATTTGTTTCAAAGGACCCTAATCTGTGGGAAACTCTGATTAGTGCCTTTGGCAGGTTTCTAAGTACAACGAGAAGGGGCCAGTTTACTTCTCCCCCCCACCTCGCCTTTTAAATTAAAACCATAGCGCTTTATCTGCAGGCCATGTGTTTACTTAGCGGGGGGGGGGGCAGAGGAGAAGAGGTAGAGAGAGGGGGGAAGTGGAACCAGGAGCCCGGGGAGGGCAGGGGGACCGAGCTGCTTGTTCTGGGGCGGCCTGGGCTTGTTTTTGAAAGGCATATTTACCTCATGAGACTTGCCAACTTTGGCTTCCTCCTCGGACAGGCCAGCGGTGGCTTTGTGGGGTGAAGCCACACAATGGCCCTGGTTTGCCTGGGCCCCACCCCGCCGTACAGCCCCTTCCTGCACCCGGGATTACACCTGGGCTCGGTGTCCCACGCTGGGCAGTGACTCTGCCAGTGCAGGCGGGGATGGGGCTGACGGGCAGCAGGGCAGGGCAGGACAGGGGTGCATGGACGGTACATGAGGCTGCTCCACCAGCTGTGTGCCTGCAGAATCGACCCCCCTCCCCTCCTTTAAGGTATTGGTCTTGGCCTGGCTTCAGCCCTGGCAGCTCTGTTCTCTGCCCCTCGCTCCCTTCTCCCTGCTGCTGGGGCGGCTGGGCTGGGGGCGCCTCTTGGCTGCTGTGGGGCTGGATCAGCCGTGACCCCACTTCCTACCCCGGAGCGGGAGGCACGAAGTGGGGATGACAGCGCGAAGCAGTGGGACCAGTTGTGGGGCGGGAGGGTCCCACCTGCCTGGGGGCTGCAGTGAGATCCCATCCGCGGGGCAGGAGGCAGCTGCTGGCAGCACTCGGTGGCTCCTGGCTGGGGGCGCCGGCAGGACCTGGGGGCCAAGCCCCAGGCTGGAATCCACAGAGCCGCCTGCGGGGAGTGGTGCTGGGCCTGGCCCCTGGCTGCACATGGGAACCCCGGGGGGACATGGCCGGCGGATTTGAGGGAGATGCCCAGTTCGTGCAGGCTCCAGGAGCACAGCCCCATGCCCTGCCCAGCTCTAGGGCCCCCGGAGGAGGGAGGAGGGGGAAGAGTGGTCCAGGTGCCCACAACAGAGCCACGGGGTCACTCAGCCAGAGGCCAGATCCCTGGGGGGTACTGGGGCAGCAAAGAGCAGCATGCAGCCCGATGGGCGTCGGACCCAGCACCCCGCAGAGCGACCAGCCGCCACCGCCAGCAGCCAGAGAGCCAGGCACAGACGGCGGCCGAGGGCGCGGGCCTCTGGCTGACAGAGCCCGGCTGCCCAGCCCTGGCAAAAGCTGACCAGTGTCGCTTCACCCAAGGAGCGGGCAAGGGTTAATGCTGAAGTGCATGGGACCGTGACAGTCTCGCCCCCAACCCAACCCCACACCGGCCCCTCACCCCCTGCTGCGCTATGCCAGGGAAAGGAGGGGCGCGCCTCGCAGGCACCAGCTTACCCCTTGTGCTGCCACCTTCACAGCAGGGGCCTCACGGCTCCCCCCATGTCCGTCCGCCGGCTCTGGAGCTCCCCGGGCCCTCTGCAGCTGGGGCGGGACAGGAGCTGGCTGCCAGCCCCCCCGGTGCAGGCGGCCAGTGGAAAGAGCCGCTCACTTCCTTCCAGATGTGAGCACAGGCAATAATTGTTAGACTCCAGGCTGCAGCGCTCACAGGAAAAGTCGCTGTCGGAGAGTGGGGGGGAGGGCAAGCCTGCCCCTCCCCTGGCCCTCCCCTCCCCTCCCCCTCGGCAGGAAGCTCCACAGGAGGGAGATTTAAAGGCAATGGGAAAAGGGGGCGCTGGGCCCCTATGAACTGTCCCTCTGCTCCTCAGACTGCCCCCTGGATCCCCAGGGCCTTTCCGAGGTGGGGGAGTCGCAGCAGGGACGAGCTAATCCCCTGGCCCTGTGTTGGGGAGCACGGGGGACCCCTGGGGCCCAGCACTGCCCAATTCACTTCTACTTTGGGGGTCAACGAGCCTAAAAACCTCAAAGAAATGCTCAGGCCAGGCTGAGATATTTGCTCAATTTCCATCCCCAGGCTCCCTTGGAACGTGGCTCAAACACGGCCCAGTCACCCCAACACGGGGCCCCAGGCACGGCCCAAACGCACCCAACACGGGGCCCCAGGCACGGAGCAGAGTCACCCCAACATGGCGTCCCAGGCACAGCCCAATCTCCCCAACATGCCCCCCCCTCCGCCCCAGGCATGGCCCAGAGTCACACGTAACCCTCGCCATCCTCTGAAGCCTCAGGCCAGTCTGCGGCCAGGACGAGGTTTTGCCCTGAGAACTGGTGCGGTCTGACGCGTGGGGGAAAGAGTTGGGGTGGAATGGAAGGAGCGTGGGTAGGAGACGCCTCCAGAGCTCCCGCGACTCTCCCTGCACTCGGGCCCTGGCAGGGGTGAGCTGATTTCCCAGAAACGTCTCTACACAGGGAGGAATGAGGAAAGAAATGCAGCAAATATGTGACACATCAGCAGAATTGTCCCTGGACAGGCCATTCCTAGCACTTCCCGCAGGCAGCCGGGCCCCTCCAAACGCACAACAGAGAGCCCCCAGGGAACCCCGACCCGCAATGCGGAACCTGCCTCTGGCCCCCCAGGAGCTCGGTGGGGCAGTGAGCCCCTTGGAGGGGTCCCAGCAGCCGAGGTGATTGAGGCGTGCACTTTGCATGCCCTTGCAATGGGTGCTCCAAGGTGACCGAGGTGCTTTTGGAAACCCCAACCTGGGTCCCTGATGCATTCGATGCCCCTGGGGTGGGACGTGAAGTCTAGTTCGATCCCAGCAGCAGCGAAGGGTTCCCTAGATTGGGAGCCAATCCTGCTGCAGGACTCCCCAAAGCCCACACTCTTGTGCACCCAGGCCAAGCCCAGCATGGACCTGCCGCAGAGGCCCCACCAGGGAGGAGCAGCGCCTGGTTAATGATTAACACTGAGTCAGGGTGTGCAATGCAGGAAGGACAGCAGGGCAGGGGGCGCTGGGCCAGGCACCTGCTCAGCCAGGCTGATACGGGGCACAGGGGGCTAGACGGTCTGTGGTAAGGGGGAACCACGCTGGGTGCAGTGCCAGGGCAGAGGTGAGACCTGCCCTCCTGCCCCCTAGAGCTGGCACCAGCCTCCCCCCGTGCCCTTTGATACCAGGCGACGAAAAGCGAAGCAGGCAGCATTCGGGGGCACCCGGGCTGCCTGGGCACCGACGTCTTTGGGGAATTCTGGTTCCTGGCTCTTCTCCTTGCCACGGCCCAAGGAAGGGCCTGTTTCTTGCACCCCATTGCCCTGGGGGCTGTGGGGCTGCGGGCCATAGGAGGGAGTGCCAGGCTGGGGAATCCAGCCGGCCAGGCACGGTGTGGGCAGCGCACAGGAGTACCCCCAAATGTGACACCTTCTCATAGTGGGAAGAGCCCCGTATCATGGCCCAGGGCACGGAGCATGGGACGAGGGCATGCCCAGGCCTTCCCGCTGCCCTGCCTCTGCCCAGGGAGGGAGTGCGTGTGCAGACGGACTCAGACAGAAGATGGGGGCCCGTGGTGCTGTGGGTGAGCGGCCGGGGGCAGGATAGAGGGGGCCATGCCCTGGGCTGGTGCGTGACCTGGCCCGAGCTCTGACCCATTGGGAGCCATGCTTCCCCCCTCGCGCTGGGGCAAGAAGGCTCCCTCCCAAATGCCTTTTCGAGCCCCTGCAGCTTCCTTTGCAAAGGACTGAGGCCAGAGTAGGAGCGACCGAAAGGGAGACCGAGCAGGCGGCTGTTGGTGGGGTGGGTACTCACCGGGCCGAGGGGCGCTGGGGGGCACGGGGCCGCCTGGCTGATGCGGGATCTGGGGCTGCGCGACGGCGGCAGGAGCCGGCTGCACTTTGGCTGGGAAGTGGGAGAGAAAGGTCTGTTTAGCATTAACGCGGCAGCAACAGGAAATAGTTTGGAGGAGCCTGGCGGTCAGCGCTCCCCAGAGCAGCCCTTGGCAGCCCCCTCCCGCAAGCTGGGACGGGGGGGAGGGGGTAGCGGGTTAAACCTGGCTCCCTCGGGACGGTGGGAGCTGGGGGCAGGGCCCTGAGGAAAACACTTTGCAAAGGCAGCGCTTTGTGCATCGCCCAGTACAGGAGACGGGCCTGCCCCAGCCCTGGCTCCAACACCCAGCAATCCCCCCCACAGCCCAACCAGTGTCCCCACCAGCTCTCATACTTAACCCCCCAGCCCTCCACCCCCCATCTTTCCAGCACCCCAGGTTCTCCACAGTCCAGGCCAGAGGCCCAGCACCTCGGGGCCGTGCTGGCAGCTAGGAACCCTGGTCATACGTGACTGGGCCTGAGTCACGCGGGCTGCTGAGACTCGAACCCAGATCCCTGGTGCTGCAAGCCCCCATCCCCTCACTCTGCGGGCAGAGACCCTGGCGTCAGGGAGCATTTGGAGCAGGGAGTGAACCTCGCACTCAGCCCCGAGCTGTATGTGCTGGTGGGGGGGACACTTACCATCCCCCCCTCACTGCTCTGCCTGGACTGACCCCATCACACCCTGTGATGGGGAGGGGTTTGCACCCACCAGCCTGTGAGCCCTGGGCTTGGTGCAGCCTCCACGTGCCCCTCTGCATGGACCTGGGCTCTGGCCGGGCCCAGTGCTGGGACAGGGGGAGCTGTGGGGCATCAACCCCCATCCCCCACAGGACCCAGCCCACAGGACTCTGTCTGAGGGAAGCAGCCCTGCCGGCCCTCTCTCCCCCGCAGTGAATGGCTGCATGTGCCCCCATCCTCCCCCACTCAGGAGCTCGCAGACCCCGGGCCCAGCCCTGCCCCAGGAGGCGAAAGCAGAGCCGGCTGCTCCACCTGCCCCACGCCTCACATGAGCTTTGCCCTGGCTTCTATCAGCAACAGTGCCAGGGCCACCAGCCACCAGCCTGGCACCACTCCTGCGGGGGAGCTTGGCCAGCACCCCTCCTCTCCCCAGGGCACGTGTCTGTGGGGCGAGCGAGGCAGGAGCTGGCCTGGGACAGCGGCTGCACTAGTCCACCATCACTGGGCCTGAGCCAAGGCGTGGGGGGCACTGGCCTCCGCCCTTCTCTGCAGACTGGCCACAGCTCGGCTCAGGGGCCTCGGCTCAGCTCCAGCCTCTAACCCTGGACAAGGAAGGCTGCAGCATCCGTCGCCTTCCAGGATGTGCGGGAGGGAGGGGCAGGCGAGTCTGGGGGGGGAGAGCGTGGGAAGTCTGGCCATCCGGACCTGGAGTCAGGGCCCCAGCCACTTAGACACGTCCCCCCAGAGGCCACCTGCCTGGGGTCACGCAGCGTGCTCGGTTAACCCTTTCAGGGGAGCAAGGAGAACGGGTGCAGCAAAGGGATTTCCTAGCCAGACACTACTCTTCGCTGGCACAGCAAGGCACAGAGCTTGGGCAAATGAGGGCTGAGCTCACCCCTCCTGCAAGTCCCGGGGCTGGTCAGCGCCCATACGCAAGGCAGCCCTTCCTGCTGCTCCCTCCTCCAGCCCGGCCTCCTGCCATGTGGCCATGGGCTGGCCTCTTGCTCAGAGAAGCAGCCACCTTTTAAAACAGTCTCTGTCCCTCCTGCTGCCCACATGAACCCGCTGGGGAACCTCAGGGCTCCTGCCCCCCTTGGTTCTGTGCAGAGATTCGGCTCGTCACAGGAGCCCCTCGCGTTCGTGGGGAGTCACTCAGCACCGATGGCTCTGCCAGTGTCTCAAAGATGCGCCAGCCCCCCCCATTCACTGGCATGCAGAGGAGCCTGGCAAGGAACAGCACGTCCAGACCTCAGGGGAGCAGGACACCAATGCAAACAAGCCTACACCTGGCCACCCAGGGAGTCCTGTGCATCCCTGCTGCCCTCCGAGAGGGGAGTGGCATCAGAGCACATGGGGGCAGGGGTCTGGCACAGCACCCCCACCTCATCTCCCTGCTGGAGCCAAGATCTTGGAGGGGTGAGGCTGGTTCTGCCCCCTTCCCCCGGTCTGTGCAGCACCCAGCACGCCAGGGCATCGCTCTTGGTTGAGGCCTCTACACGGGACCATAACGCAGAGAATAAGTAGGAGGTGGCTCCTGGGAGCAGCTTGAAATCTAGGCACCAAGGTGGCCTGGCCCGGCATCCGGGGCGGTCTGGCTCTGCTAGCCATCCAGCAATGGGGTCTCTGTGTGCCACCACTGCTGTGAGGAGCAGGGCTGTGTGCGCCCCCTCATGCCAGCACCACATGGCATGACCCCCATAACAGCAGGAGCATGTGTGGAGGGTCAGAGGAGCTTGCTTCCAGGGGAACATAGGGCTCTTAGCCTGTGGCATTCCTGGGCCCTTTCTTCCATCCCATCATGCACCAGGCACTGGGAGCTGCCAGCTGGGTGGGGCGGACCCCCTGAAACCAGCACCAAGCTCCCCTCCGAGGCCCAGAGAGGCAGGGACACAGTTTGAGGTGGATGAAGGGTACTAGGGTGAGCTCTGTGGGGAGCATTGGGGAGGAGCGGGGACAGACTGGGGGTCACGGTACGCTGTTTGTTCCAGAGTCGGGGCCTCCCGCAAAGTTCAGCTTGGAGCTCTCCATGCCGGGGATTTTTGGTGTTTATTAAATGCACATGAACAGCCTGGCCCGGCCCTGAACTCAGCCCACAGCTGCCTTCTAGCGCTCGGCCCCTGCTCTTGCACTTGTACTGAACCAGCCAGCCACACATTTCCACAGCAGGGCAGGTAACGGGCAGCCTGAAAAGCCCTTGAACTGACTGGAGGAGCAGCCTCAAACTCCCTGGGACACAACCAGCCACCAGCCCTGGGGTCTATGCATTCCCAGACCCCGCTTGCTCTCGGGTTGGGGGGGCTCCTCTCCCAGCCCCACTCTGCTATTGCAGGGGGAAGCACAGGGCCTTGTGGGCCCGGTGCCCTGGTGGTTTTCTCTAACAAGGGGAGGGGAAGCCCTGGGGCCCAGTCCAGTGGGGGTGCAGGGTTTGACTCAGCAGTCAGTGATGACGTATCCCTGCCAAACCAGCCCCCAAAGCAGGGAGCCCGTCAGGCCAGCAAGAGCTGCGCATTAGGAAGTGCCCAACCCCCCACAGCACCCGGGACCCAGGAATCACCCTCTGCAGCAACAGGAAAAAAGAGGCAGGGCAGCCCTCCAGGCTGGGTCACGCTCACATGGCCCCATGGGCTCCTCCCACAGCAGCCACACTGGGCTGAATCGTCCCCTTGGGAGTGGGGCCTCGGACAGAAGCGCCACCTGTCCTGAGATCTCCCCAGCACCAGGGCGTTAGCAGGCCCCACATGCTGCTGCCCTGGAGGGCTGGCAGATCCCTCCAGACAGTGAAGGGGCAGTGACGGGGAATGGAAAACATCTGCCCCCAATTCCCCCGCATTAGGCCTGCAATGCTTCCCTCCTCTGTCCCCATGTGTCCCATCGCCTTTGCCCACTTTGGGGGTTCTCTTCTTGCTGCTTTCCCAGCTCGCTGGGGGCTAAGCCCAGGGCCCACCAAGGGCGTGGGCTCCCCAGCAGCAAGGCAGGAGCGAGACTTCGGACACGGCTGCTGAATGGCCAGTGTTAGCAGGGGGCTGTGTCTGCCCAAGGACACTCCAGGCCTGGCTGCCTGCACCTTGCCCAGACTCACACCCTGGGGGATTTGCCCTCCCCCAGCCGGGTGAACTCAGTCCGGCATGTCAGAGTAACGCCAGGGCAGGCTCTGGCTTTGAGTGCCCTCTAGTGCATCACCCCATGCACTGCAAGCCCTACACTGGGGGCTGTCCCTCGGGCAGGAGCCCAAAGCAGGAACAAGAGACCCCACTAGTCCCAGCAGGAAGATGAGGGAGGGGTTAGGGATTCTCAGGTGGGCTAGTCCTGCTCACCCCCGGCTCCTTGGGAGGCTGAGCAGAAAGAGCACCATCTTTCCCCACTCAGGCTGCTCAGCGTAGGGCCATGCTGTCACCCCCCCTCACCCCCCGGACACACACACACACACACACACACACACACACACACACACACACACACAACGCTGGGCCACGTGACGCCAGTTCTACATTATGAAATTTTATTGCTGACATGCAGGAAGAGTTTTGATGTAGTACAAAAATATGTCTTTATACAAATTTTTTTTTCCATTTTTTACACTAGGATCCTTGTCTACAGCATGTCATATGTCTAATCTACTGAAACCAAACCCAGCAGCTCTCAAACCCTCCCCGGGCACTGCCATCTTTTTCCAGTTTCTTTACTATAAACATGTGATCATTCACTGGTGATTAGCCATTTGCAGGAATACTCAGTATTATACAACTTTGCAGAGTCCCCAGAATATTGCTTTAACTTTGGGAAAAAAACACAACATGAACAAGTAGCGAGCTAGACCGGGGGGGCGGATGGGGGACGGCAGGGGGGACTGGAGGTGCGACAATCCACACAGCGCTCCTGGGCTCCAGCCTGCTGTGAGAACTGTGGAGGGGAAGAGGAACTGGCAAGAATGGGCCGTCAGGCTATTGCCCTGAGACGGTGTGCAGTGCCCAGGTCTCAAAGCCCTTCCCGCATGGTGCAGGGCAAGCCCGCAGGGAGGCCTGCCTGGCAGAGCTGTTACGTGGTGGTTGGCTGGTATTTTTGAGCAGCCAATGGCAAGGGGCTCCACATGCCAGCTCTCATGCTGACAGCACTGAAGGGTAGTGGTGCCACACCCGTACGTAGCATCTTTGAACAAAATAAATAAGAGACTAATACGACTTCAAGCTATTGGCTCATCCTGGCGAGCTTGGCGAGGCTGTTCTAGTCCCTGTTAGTGTTCATAAGTCTAACTTCCTGCACACTGTGAATCTGCTTCAGGGAGTTCGGAGGCAGAACATAATGCCCAAAGCTTACAATTAACATTCCTGCCAAGGAATTTCAGTTCAGCCCCCGAGTGCATCAACAGGCAGAATCCACG